AAATAGTTTTTAAAAACAAAAAATGAGAACAGAAACCAAATAGGCCCTTAAATACTGGTGGGTCCAAAAAAAGGTGAAAAGATCAAAATACCTTTGCTTGTTATACAGAATCATTAATTGTTAATTTTCTTACTTTACTTTTTAATTTGTCGATATCACTTGTAAATTATATTCATTTGTCAGATAATTAGTAATATTAGTTGTTAATTTGCTAATTCACTAATATAAGTTATAAATTACTAATTGTAAATTACAAGACTTGTTAATAATTTACAATTGATGTTAGTAAACTATAAAATATATCAATAATTTACAACTGATATTATTAATAAATCAATAAGTAAAGTTAGTAATTTAATAACTGATGTTGTTGCTTAAAATTGACATGTCAACTCATGTAATTTGTAACTTATATTTATAAATTAACAAATAAAGTAAAAAAATTAACAACTAATAATTTTGCATAATAAATGAAAAGTATTTTGACCTCTTCACCATTGAAATTTAAATTTTCTCTCGTGGACTAAACTGAATTTCAAAAATTTTGAAACTTACAAATAATTAAGTTTCCTTCATGATTCTTAATTGAAATTTTTCTTAGAATTTAAATAGTAATTTATTTCCAATACTCACTTCTTAAAACTCAATACTTACCCTCTGCCCTAATTCTAAATTCATGATAATGGCGGATTAAGAGTCGTTACACTTGATAATGGCGGACACCGTTGTGCAAGAGGAACCCACATGCAACTTGGGAAAAGGAAGCTGAAGCTTTAAAGTGGAATTGGTGATTCGTGCCACTTTGATTAAAAGCTAAAAGCATATGGGTTTAGGTGTGTTGTGGGTATTGGGCGGTAGCCCTTTTTATTTTTATTTAATCTGATACCCTTTTCTTCTTTTTCTTCTTCTTTTATCTTTCCTTCCTTCCTTCTTCTTCTTCTCCTTCTCTTTTTTTTTTTTTTCATGACTTTCCTAAAATTCAAAATATTAAGTTAAGTTTATATATTTTGCTTAAATAAATTTTTATAATAATATTTTTTAACATTTATAATATGCTAGGTTGGCAAAATACCTTAAATAATTTTATTTAATTTCAACTAACATTATTGATTTTCTTTATTTTCTAGAAATTATAGCCCAAAATTAAGTTTTTAAAATTAAATCCATTTTTGGTAAATTTTATTTATTCGAATAACTACATGGTAATATCCATTCATCATGAAATAATTTAATTAGGGATGCAGTATTTTTACTGATAGAAATATTTCATTGCTAATCTGATGTTTTTTTGGGTAGTGATCATCATCATCTCTCTAAGCATATTTAAAAATAAAGAAAATAACATTGCAGACAAAACTATAGTAGTCTAGAGCACTAAAAACAAAGTAACAAAACTTGAAAAAATTATAGAGATCAATGATTATATTAATTAAGTGCCAAAATCAACATTTTGGGAAGTGAAAAGTTATGCAATGGTGATTTTATTTAATTCAAAATCAAATATAGACAGACAATGAAACTTACTTCCAAAGAAACCATGAACATGACTTATTACTTGTACTTGATGAAGTAATTATGGAGTAACTTTTTAATGTTACAATTTGATATCTTATCTTATATATATATATATATATAATAAAATAAAATAGTTTTTATTGTTTTACGGAACAGCAAAATCAATAGTATTGTATGCTTGTAATGTTTTGTTTCACTTGTTTTTAAATTTTGTTATCATGCTTATCTTTTTTTTTTTCCAAATCATAATTTTTTCAAGAACATGCTTATGTTATATTTTTAAGATATCATATTGATATATTTTTTATTTTAATAATTTTCAAATCAATTTTTAATTTTTTTCTGGATAAATAATTTAAAAATAAAATAAGATGTTTATACTTTTAGTATGCACAAAAGTAATAAATTGTAAAAAATACAAAGTTATTATTAAAATAACTTATCATATATTTGCTACATGGATAACAAATAATAAATGTGTTGTTTTGAAACCAGACATATTTTTTAAAATTAATTTTTCTGAGTAATATTTTCTGTTTATAAGCCAAAAAATTCCTTAAAAATAAAATAAGATGTTTATACTTTTAGTAAGCACAAAAGTAATAAATTGTAAAAAAATACAAAGTTATTATTAAAATAACTTATCATATATTTGCTACATGGATAACAAATAATAAATGTGTTGTTTTGAAACCAGATATATTTTTAAAATTACTTTTTCTGAGTAATATTTTCTGTTCATAAGCCAAAAAATTCCTTAAAAGTAAAAGTTTGTCCATCTTTCTTAACTCTATTACCAGAAAGTTTTACACCGGGAAAAATTGTGTTATAGTATTTTTGATAAAATTAAATATATTATAAGCTCTACAAATAAGTAAAATATATATATATTTATTTATGTTTTATTTGTCTCAAGCTTGTATTGTATAAAAATATATAAATACATTGGGTGAGTATTTGATCTCACTTTCCACTTCATATTTTTAGATTTATTGGTTTATTTTCAAATTAATTTCATATAAGTTATTACATTCTATACAATTATTAATTGTGCATTAATGTGATTTCAATATTATGACTTATTAATCAATTTTTTATCTTATTTTTCTAAGAATAATCATGTCTTCTTGAATTATGTTTTGTTTGATTTAAATGAAAATAGATATATGTGGATGAGATTTATTATTTTGTGAATTTCACATGAATGACTTTCCTTTCTTCTTTTCTCCATTAATTATTTGATCTCATATTATATTATATTAAGCCATTTAAATTTGGGTTTTAATGTATATGCTCTTATTTTAGAAGAGACGACCGACAAAATTTAGTAAAAGAAATATTGCAATATATAATGACTCTATTAAAAGTAGATTGTACATTGAATATAATATAAGAGTCACAGTCTATTGAAGCACAAATTTTTCATAAAGATACGCACCCATATAATGTCTATAAACAAATAAAAAGGAAATGAATCTTTACGTTAAATCTCTTTTTAGTTTTTAATTATAGTATTACTAGAATTACAAGAATGTTTAGCATGAGTTTTAACTTAAAAAATCACCATCAATAATTCATAATTCATTCTGGTAAATCGTTCATAATAATTTAAACTTTTAAAGCCTTTACGCAAGCTAACCCACAACAGTAGTAAGATTGAAAGAATCTCTCCCATAAACACAGCTAGTATGTTTTAAAAAAAAAAAATTTGATTTGATGCTTATATTTTTCAACATGTAAAATGCAACAAATTGTAAAATAAAATAAATCTTTTGTACTTTTAAGTATATAGAAGAGTAATAAATTATCATAAAAATAAGCTAATATATATCTCTAGGATCTCGAATTCATTCAAGTCATAAAATATATAATCACATTTAATAAATAATACTCTCAAATTTCTTAAGATATTGAGTGATAAAAAAATAAAAAAATAATTTTAAAATAATTTCTAATAAATAGAGTTGAAACTAGTTGGCTCCACTCTTATAAGCTTGGCCTTCATAGGTTCAAGCTCTTAAAAGCCTTTTACATTAAGATTAACAATTTCTTCAAGTTTGATCCTTATTGAGTTAAAGGCCACACCTAGAAGCCTTTTTTTGTCATCTTATCTTTATTTTTTTAAAATTTTAGTTTGACATTATAATATTATATATTCATGATCTAAAATATAAATTATAATGTTCTTAAATCCAAAATAAGTAAATAAATCATAATTTTAAAATACAAACACATATTTTAAATTTTAAATTTAATCTAAAAATTTAAATAGCTCAATTTTTTAAGTTTAAAATAAATACAAGTTTAAATAGGTTACTTAAACTTGAGTTAGAGCCCCATTTTTAAGACTTAAACCAGTCAGGTTCAAATGTTTGGGCGCCCAAAAAAAACAAAGCATAAATGAGTAACTTGGTGAGCTCAATCCATATTTATTCGTTATTCACGACTATAATACATAGCTCATGGGTTATAAATTTTACATTAGAATGTACTCCTATTTAATTTTTTAAGACACATACAACGAATTATAAAATATAACAAATTATTGTATAGATATGTATGTTTTTAAATTTTTAAATAATTTTTACTTAGTTACTTCTTTTCTTCATTTTATTTATATTTAAAATTTTCAAGATTTTATTTTTTTTAAAGAATTGAACTTTTTGAAATCTTCCCTTCTCTATACTACCCTTATACTGTAACTTAGGATTAATATCCCCCGTACCGCATGGGCATAAAATATAGTTGCATCATTAAATCTAATTTCAGACATTAGACAATTAACATGAAAAACAACAATTTCTTTGTATTACTTGATTAAAGAAATATATTTTTATATTTTATAATTCTTTCAAAAAAATCATATTTAATACTTCTTCCAAATTATAACATAAAACATCTTCTAAAAGAATTGTTTAATCCAAAATATAAAGTATTGAATAATTTTTACAATTATCTTTTAATGATACTGCAACTTCATTTATCATTTTTTTAAAAAGTAATGTATTAAAATTTCAACTATCATTTACAAAACTCTTGTATAAAATATTAAATGAAGATATACTTGAAAAGATATAAAATTTGTTATGAAATTAAATTTTCAAATTTTTTTTCTAGGAGGAAGATAGTCTTGTAATACTGCTCACTCTTTCTGTTTAAAAATATAAAATATTTTTAATTTTTTAAAATGTAATTATTATTTTTTTAAAATGTCATTATTGAATAAATTATTTTAGATTTATTTTAGAGTGAAATATCTTATTAAATAAAAATAAATAAAAAATATAAAATTAATTCAAAAATAAATAATTATATTTTTAAAGGTAAAATTTGTTTAAAAATGTATTATATTTTCAAATCAAAGGGAGTAATTACTTATCCAGGAAGAATCAACTTTCCAGATTTCTAAAGCGAATCGTCATTCTTCCATTATTTTAAAGTTCTTCAGTACTTGGGGGAAAGGTAGCCAGCACCAAGAGCATGATTGTACTCCAAAGTCATCGCCTTCAACGCGTCGTAGCCTCCGGTCTCCAAGTAAGCTTCATTCTGTGAAACATCTGTCCCGTAATTTTACTCATCCGGCGAAGCCACGACGTACGGCATGGCAAAATTAGCGCCTGAACAAGGAGGAGAGAGTGATAGGATTAGCAGCTTGCCAGACCCTCTGCTTCACCACGTCCTATCTTTTCTTCCCATAAAAGAAGCCATAGCCACGAGCTTGATCTTGTCCAAGAGGTGGACTCGGCTATGGCTGGCAATGCCCGCTCTTGATATTCATGACACTGGCTTTGCTACTCTTGATTCTTTCATTCAGTTTGTAGATGCAGTCTTGTTCTTGTCCCATCCCAAACCCATAAACATGTTTCGTCTCAAGTGTCAGATATTCCAAGTGCCTCCTATCAGGACTAATCTGTGGGTTAACTTTCTGATAAATTGTAAAGTGGAGCATCTCGAGCTGTGTTTTGCAGATTTAAATTCTTAAAGTCACGTTGATGTGCCTGCTTGCATTTTCCACAGCAGTACCATTAAGATTTTAAAGTTGGCTCAGGTTAAGCTGACTGCTCGATCTGTTAATTTGCCTTCACTCAAAGTATTGCATCTGGTGAAAGTTCTATTTTCAAATGCTGAATCTGCGGCTAATATCCTTAATGGATGTGCTCTTCTTGAGGACCTGGTATTAAAATCATGGTCTGCTCCTTTTAAAGGTTTCAACTACCCCAGGATTGGAAGGTTTGAACATTTGGTGTCGGCAGAAGTTGAACTATCTTCGATTCCGTTGGCAGCTTTTAGTGATGTTAGGCTTCTTCGGATTAAGGTACTGATAATAATTTATAGAGTAGTGATTTTTTGAGAAAAACTAATCAATTAGTTCTTATAATTTGTTCGTAATTTTGACTTAATTCTAATCCAGTCATTATAAAATTTTAATCTTCACAATTTTTGTAAAGATTAATTTGTCGTAATTTTTCATAAAAAAATCAAATTTGAGAAACATTTCCATTTACAGTTCTACCAAGGAAGATGTAGATTCGAAACACCAAATGCTCAGAAGATTATCATCATGTCCTAGAGGTTCATTGAATTGCAGGCTGCTATTCCATTAAATTTCTGAAATGTAAAATGATTTTGTTGCTTGTGTCGTGTTTCTTGATTTTATTTTGGCTTATTTCCCTTTTGACTATATATCTGGACAACATTTTACGCTGGACACTTCATGGAGCTTGTTTTAGTGTGTTTATGCTATATGTGAGAAGATAATCTTTATATATGGGCTGTGCAGCTTTTTGACTTTTGTTTAATTCATATGATATATATCCTTCTTCTTATCCAAATTATCAGACTTTTTTTGTCAACTAAACTTGTTCTACGTATAAGATATTTAGTGCTTTTCGAAATTATTTTTTTTATAAATTTACTCTTGTATTAATTAATGTGAGTATGCAAAATATAATCTCTCACTTTTCATAATAATGATGGGAGCATGAGACTAAAATTGAATTTAGTAGTGAAGCGGTTTCTAGCTTTACCATTGATTTGATTATTGAAACTGACTAATTTATTTTGGTCCTCTTCAATTTGAGGTTTTGTTATAGGGGAGACAAATTTCTGAACTAATTTATCCTCATCAATTTTGTTATATTCCATTATTGTCCATTTAAGAAATAAAAGATCACTCTTCAAACTCTCATTGGTGCTTCTTGTTGCTCTTCAAACTTCACCATTATTGTCATCAAGCATTCTTCAATGAGTTTTACTTTGCTCTTCTTGCCAGGCTTATTTGGGTTTCTAATTGATGTGAGGAGTTGTTGATAGACGATATGTAAATATGTAAGCCTGATGAGAGCCTGAGGTCCACTTTTTTTCAATGACAAAGCAGATTAAATTTAAAAGTCAATCTAATAGTAAGAAAAATGAAAACCAAATTGAGAGTTAAGGTCCAATTTTTTCTGTACTTTTTTTAAGGAGCGCTAGACATTATATACTTTTAAATAGAATAAATTTTTTTCTGAACTATTTTTTAAGGGAGCAAAAATTCCTTTCTTCAAATATCTATTTCTTCTCCCTATTATTTGATGACTTGTCAAGA